CAAAGTTTTTAGGTTTTTATTTATACTGATTTTTTCCTTTTTACAGCTTTGTGAGTTTTTATAATTTGTAGTCAAATATTTTTGTTGATGCATCGAAAGTTTTTGCTAGTAGCTTGTTATCATATCTGAAAATATATAAATTATATCAATATTGATGAAAATTAAATTTAATCGCTTTGTCAGCAGAGTGTCACAAAAAAAGAAAGAAGAATGCAAGGTATTGTAGAATTTTGGTCATGTGATTAGATATATATTGTGCAAGCAGCGAGTTTCCTAGACTTGAAATACCTTGCACGAATCAGATATTATATGATATATTCGAGCAATTTTGATATATTAAAGGAAAGCTGTTGAAAAACTGAATAAATATTGGAGTCTATTGTCAACACTTAAGTTTAAGTTTATGTACAATTGAGCTGGCTTATGAAAATACTAAGAAAAGTGGAAAGTTGATATGGATATGGAGGGCTACGCAGCTGACAGCTGGTACAACCTCTTTTAAATTGGAAACCTTGCGCCGTTTGTAAATGTGCCTGGAAAACATATAAAAAAGTTGAAGAAAGGAAGTAGTTTTAGATCTTTAAATCTCGGAACTTGACTTTCACTCGTTTTGCCACGCCCTAATATGCGTAGATAATATCTACTACATATTAAAGAAATATATATTTTAAATATAAGTGCTATTTTAATACTCTATAGGATAATACTACCAACGAATATGTTTTCGAAATTGCATGTCTAAAACCGATATACTCTTTTAACCTGTCGAACAAGCGCTACGCTCAAATGCAAATTGCATAACATTATATTCTATATAAGTTTGTTTATACATATGTATATATGCGATTACCCGATAATTGAAAGAAAAAGTTTTGAAGTGTGAGCAAAATTTATTTGTACGTTAACATAAGCTAATGGCATTAATAAATATCATGACTATCTAATCGAGGAATATTACCAAATCAGCTGAAGTGCAAAAGAAATATAACCAAATCAAATCAAATCCAATCAAAGTTATGAACTTTTCCGACCTTAATTGAGTATGTTATTAAAAATTATTCGATATTTTTAAACGTTCCATTCCATTTTGAGCTATCAACTGTGTGTATCTTATCGCTAAGTATTCTCCCTTTCTCCAACGTCAATTCGATAGTTGTGAATAGAGCACCGAATAAATAGTTTATTTTTCCTCAGTTTCTGTTTGTGTTTATTAATTGTATCCCGTTTCTTAGTTGTATATATAGATATAGAGCTCTACGTATTTATTGACTGAGTACAAACAAAAGTTTTGCCACTGACTGTTACGCAAGTATCGGTGCTGATATCGCTCTACAATAGACGACTGCAAAGCACATCGATCTGGAGACAAACAATCATATAATACAATAAACAACTGCAAATAGCAGTGTACTTCACATTAATATGTAGCTCTTCTATATACCATGAGTGTATATTTAGACGTATCGAGTGTGCTAGCTAATAATAAGTTTTCTTCTTAAGAAAATTTAAAGAACAAGTTTTAGTTAAAAATCAGGCAAGTGTTTGTAGCAAAATATCTCGAGAATATCTGGAGATTAGGAAAAATGTTCAATAGAAGGGAGTAACGCTCATTAAGGCTTAGAACATCTAGAGTGGAGTGGAAAGTGTAATAAAATAATTGTAATTTCCAGAATGTGTAACTTGAATACCATAATAGCTAATGACTTGGGTATTTCATAGTCGAGCACCCCCAAAATAGCTTGCTTTTCACAATGTTTTGTGCAAATGTCTAAATATGCCAGCTACTGTTTATATACGGGATATAGTATGCGCATACTTGATACAGATGAATTTGAATGCGAATATTTATGAATAATTTGCATTCGTATTCTCATTCACATATTAATCTCAGCTTCTTATTGTTCCTCTACTACTTCTTTTGCGCTTTGAACCCGTTTTGGTCTTCCTAATAACTCACTTAGCTCACCTTTCAAACAAAAATTTGTTCAGCTTTATAAATGCTGGCATACATCATCATTTTTATGACGACAACGCCCATATATATAAATACACCTATATGGATATAAGTATATATGTATATGCATGTATGTATAGTTACTTTCTGCTGTGATCATTTCACGGCTCTGACGTCACGTTTTATTCAAGGCTAGTCTCATTTGCAATTAAAATATTTCTGATTTGAATTTGAATTTTCTCAACTAAATTTCATTCAGTTTTGTTTTTTGCTTCTTTGCTTTTATCAGAGCTGTTTTTGTTGGACACTTCCGATACAATTGACGTATACCCGAAAAATAGCTATCCGGACGATCTGAGCAGGTGAGGTGTCTTCTGGCTGGCTGTGCCTTTTCGCAAATATCAACAATGAGATAAACAATAGCACATAGATATAAATACATATATAAATTTAAACGTTTATGCGAAATACTAACAAATACTAACAATGTGGGGAAGATTCGTTTGCGATGTGGAAAGTAAATTTGTATGAGCGAAAAAACGGGTATTTGAGTATATAATATATAATATAAAATAAATATAATTTGAAAAAGAAATTTTATTAAAATTAAAAGTGCTCACGAAGTTTGTTATAAATAGAACTATAGATTTACAACCCTTTAAATTTTTGGCTATAGATTTTAATGTAAAAGTCAAAGCTACAGGGTATTCGAATGTCGACTACACGCTCAATTAGCTTCGTCTACATCTTATTTTCATTGACTGTGTGGCGTTTAGTTCTAATCATGCAAGGTTAAAGGCAAATAAACGCACTGCCTTCTGCTTTCACACTCAATAAGCATGATTAAAATAATAAAAAGACGATGAGAATTTTTTGTGGATGAGATAAGCCCCCAAGCCCGAACGAAAATGATGCGAATATTGAAATTTAAATAAATTAAAACCCATTTAATTAACAGTCCGACCATAAGAATCTAAGAGAAGTACTAAGAAAATTGGTATTTTTCGTCGCTACGGTTTCTGCTTGTGGGTGATATCATCGAGTGTGTGCTTGTAAGATATGGCGATAAGATAAATTCAAAATTAAATATTTAACATTGATATTAACACAAGTTTTGCCACTCAGCTCGAGCCGTATGACGGTGCATATACCAAAAAATTTATGTGAATTCGCCCCTTCTATATGAGAAAGTTCCTATGAACAATATGCTTTGCTGCAATAAACCCTAAACTTTGACCCAGAAACCTAGTAAAACGTAAATAACAAAAATACGCTGCGATCTATTGTTTCGGTACTTCGCATAATTAGCCAGACATAACGGTTAAACACGCAAACTAACACACAAAAAAGAGAATTTTTTATATGACTACCTAAAAGCTGACTCAAAAAGTGCAACTGGAATATTTGGTGTGCGTGTTATCAGTGCAAGATACGGCATTGATAAGATACGGCATAGGTGTGTAACAGCTCAAAGTTGATATGCCCAAATAGACGCGTTTATTAAAAAAGGTGCGAGTTGAATTTTGCGAGCTGAGCAAACTAAATCAACGAATTGATAACAAATATTGCCAAAGCTCTCTCCCTCTATCTCTCTCTCTTTCTCTTTCTGTCGCTCTTTGATTGATAAGAGTGCATAAGCTTTTTAAAATTTTGGAACAATCCTCATGCTCGCACTTTGCAAATTCATAAATCTCTATTGTGAATGAGTAACTATTTAAATTTCATAATTTATTATGTCTTTAGTGTGATTGTGTATATGTGTGTGTGCTTTCCACGTGCTTCATTGCGGCAAAGAGCGCACCGGTAAACACGATGGCAAACTTTTTCGCTCAGTTCATGATCAGCCAGCAGATATTCGCGCGCTCATCGAAGCTCACTCCAGCTCCAGCTGCTCGCGCTCTCTGCATCGCTCTCTCGTTCGCTCAGCCGTCGAAAAAAGAAAAAAAAAAAATAACTTAAACCGTAAAACTGTATTTATATGTGTGCGTACCGGTGGTGAAGTTTCAGTTTCGCTTTGCTCAGTGGCTCGCTTTGTGCGTTGCGTTTATTCGGCGTTAAGCTTTCCCATYGAACGGTCGCTCGCGAGTGTGAGTGAGTGAGTGTGAGTGTGTATCGGTCTCAGCCATACAGCCATACAGCCATACAGGCAGCCTGCCTAGCTACGGCCAGTTAGTTTCGCCGCGTTACGCAGCTGCGACAGTCAACAAAAGCGCTGCATAAAATCTGACTATATAGATTTGATTATTGTTGTCGTTGTTTGTTGGCCGCGTCGATCGTTTAAATCACGCGACGCCCGCCCTCTGCACGTCGCCGTACCGCACCGTCCCGCTCTCTTCAAGTGTTGATCCTCACAGCCGACTTCGCTCTGTGTTAGGTAATTAAAATGCAAAGTTAAAGCTTATTAAAGGTGTTTCACAGTTTATATATCAAAATCAAAGACAAGACACACACATATGTACATGCACATACACAGGCATACACACACTTGTGCACACTTAGAGCCAATTTATGTGGCTGCAGTTAGTTTATTTGTTCTTTCGCTTTTCGCTCAGTTTTCGTTGACATTTCTCGGCTGCTGTCGTTGCTATTGTTGTTGCTGTGCGCCTCTTCTTCAGACTCGTTTTCGAAATTCGTTTTTTTTTTTTGCGCCCCGAAAAACGAAAAAAAGATTTGATAGGCGAGACAGTCGTAGCGCAGGCAGCCAGCACGAAAGATCTTCAAGAGTTGAAGAACGCGGCTGAAGGACTTTCTGTGAATAATAAAACAAAGAAATAAAAGATCATTGAAATTGTGCCGGTGCAATATAAACGATAAATATATAGAGATATTATATATTGTCTCTCTCTATATGTACAAATACATATAGGAACAAGCTAAACAGTTGTGTGTGCGTGTTTGTGCGCTGCTCAGATACAAATGTATCTTAAACATATATAGAAAACAAAAACTGTGCAAAAATATCAAGAAAAACAAAATCAAAATTTTAATAAACTTTGCGTGTGAGTAAAGGAAAAAAAAAAGGCAAACAGAAGCAAAGCATTGAAAATTGAACACATTTTGCCTTATCTAAGATCAAGGTCTGCTTGCTAATGGATCAGCAGCCTTTAGTCGAAGCGTGATAAGGCATATAAAATGAGTGCTTTGTGAGATTTCTAATATACATTTACACATACATACATACATATATATAAGCTGCATGTACACATGTGCTTCAAGCCAAGTTGTAATTCGAAATCTGTGCTTTATGCAATTTGCCGTTGCAGTTGTATCTTTTATTACCTATAATTTTCATTTGCGGTTTTTGGCGCTGAGATCTACAGCCAAACTTGACCCTGTTTCTCAAGCCGTCAGCAACAGTTATATAGTTATATAATTGCCAAAAAGCCACGAAAACAGACCACACGAAAAACGACGCTCAATAAAAAACCGACCCGCTTTAACCCTACCGAGCCACTTGGCCACTTAAAATTACTTAAGCGCCGCAGCAACAATAAAAAAAATTAAACCTTTTTTTTGCCTCAATTACACATAAAAGATTCGTTGTGAAATCTTGAACAGCTATTCGCGCGTTTATGATGAGTACCCTTTAAATGCACTCAAACTAAAACTCATTCATAAACGACCAAACACACATAGAGAAAAGCCACACAAGGTGTAGGTGCCAGATCTGTTTATCTTTTTTTTTCTAAGTTGATATGTATCTTTGGATCTATTTGCTGAGGCGCAATTTTTTTTTGCATTCTTGCAGTCTAAACATTCGTACGAATACTTTGTTAATTGTTTGTTTACACTTACTGCCTGCCTATAAATGAAATTTAGTTTATGCAATTTTTTAAACATTTCACCAAACTAAAATAAAAAATAATTTAGTGTGCCTGACTTGAGTATACCCTGGAGGTAACAGGAAATATATTGATTATTAGTTATCTTTGCATACTTTGAAAACTTATCGATGAACAAGCATGATTTAACTGTTAGATCTATAACTATCTAGCTGAATCTCACTTGTTGCTTCAGATCAGAGAATCGATCAGTCTCAGTTGTTACTCCAGATCACTTTTTGTTAGCTTCATAAAGTCATTGACATATCTTCTTTGTATTGTTTCATATCCCTTTACAAAACTAATATACCTAGCTTAACCATATTCTCCATATTTATAAATCTGGTCAGATTTTCAACCAAAACCTTTTGAGAATCCGATGCAAGACATTGTATATTTTTACATGTGACGTGGGAGTTGGGCGGAAATTACGCAACAGTTGTCGTTGACTGGAACATGCTAGTAAATTATGCACACAGACGTATATAAGTATATACAGTTGTGTTTATGTACATATATTTAATACACACACACATGTGAAACACAGACCGGGTCGAAAAAAAGTGCTAATTTGTGTGGCGCATAATTCACAGAAATGTGCGAGTACGCGTTCAAATTTCAACGAAAACTTTTTATGGCCAATAACTCAGAGCTGCAAAAAATATATGTATATAAATGTATATGTATGTGTATAGATATATACAACTCTTTCATAAAGTAGCAGCAAAAGCTAAAAAAAAAAATGTTATCGATGACGCCGATGCCGATGCCGACGCGGACGCTTTAACTTATCTCTTATCTTTGCCATTTGTAATATTTGCTAAAAATGGGAAAAAGAAAATGAGCAGCAAAGCAAAATATACGTTTACATCCGCTGAAATTTTGCCTGCTTTTGGCAGTGCAAATTTCATCATAAAGTTTGAAAATCTACTTAAATGGCTTTCAGTTCTTTTATCTAGAAGAGAGTTCTCCAAAAGGGGATTTACTTTAATTTTCGTACACTTAAGGAGATTATATAATATGAGCAGACATCAAATATCGCAGAAGCGTTTTGTGTTTACTTTGCGCTTCTTCTTTCCATGTCTACAATTCGAAATAAATATATGAAAAAGCTTGCTCAAATATCTAATGTTATCTTTCGTATCGATTATTGTATTGGATCGATCATTTATGACGAATGCTATAAACATTTTGATGGAGTAGTTCCGGAAGTTTGATTAGGAAGTATCAAAAGTAAATGTCAAAATAAGAGAAAAATATAATATAATATAAATACATAAGCCTATATACATATATGTAGTCTCTGGTAGACTGCTACTCGATATGTATATATAAAACATATGTGCCACCATATTCAATATATGGTATATCCAAGGCGCCATCGATTATCGCACGAGTCGTTTGCATCGGATAACAGAGTCTGGAAGCATCCAGTTTCCACAGTGTTCCATTGCATCTTTGCAATCGGAGCGCCGCAAACCGAATGAAACTCTATGCAGTTGTCAACAACAAAAACAATAAACGAACGAGCGACGGAACAACAAAAAATAGAACTACAATAAAATATTGTGTAAACACAATTATTTTCTTTTCTTGTGCATTTCGGTCGATATGTCAACCTTGTCCCCATTAGATAGAGCTTGCAGCTGGGATGAGCAATCACCAAAATAGAGATTGTGCTTCTTATGCTATATGTCTTTATCGATAAAGAGCCACAACACGCACTTATCAGCGCACAATCAAAGCAGAACGCGCTTTCACAACACCAAATAGAAACAACAATAATGAGAACTCGGATAAATCCCATAAAAATAATGCTTCAGCTCGAGTGGTTCTTCATTTGAATAAGTGTGAATTTATGCGTCTATTTTATGCATTTTGTCATTGGAGTTCTTAATTTGGTGGCACCAAATATTCCTAGGGGCTTAGCGCCAAGTGCACATGACTCGGCCAGAGTTGTTAGGCATATCTATAATTAGCAAATGTCTAGCGTTTCCCCCCAAATACGATAAGATAAGCAGAGTCGTCCGCTGATAGCGAAAAACAAGTAAAAGCGTCTCCGCTCGACTGGCAGATGCTCTGCTAAATAAATTATAAATATGCTATACTAGGTATATCCTGTATTTTGGAGGTGCAGCTCTTAGAATTTCCCGTGCAAAGTTTTAGATATTTGTTTACAATTTACAATATATACAATTTTCACTCAGTTTCTCTTGAAAGCATTTACAAACAAATTTTTAGCCACCCAGCTCTTATAGTTGCTGAGTTTACTGAGGACAATTAAGGGAATTGATATTGAAATATATATGATTTCATTCATTTTTGTTCAACATTTCAAAAATATATCTCTTACAAACTCTGAGTTCCTTGAGAATAGTTAAAGCAAAATATTTAAATTTTATTTTATTTATCTTCCAAGAATTCACATACTAAATTTCAACGCCCCTACTCCTATAGTTTTTGAGTTCGTTGAGTAAATCCCCTTCCAATTCTAAATATAATTTTAATGATCATATCTCTGAGCTTTTGTCATGCTATCGAAATACTCTATGATACAAACCACCTTAACACAGAAATGTACTTTCATTTCGTAAATGTTTGTTTACCCGTAGGCAAATACTTTGAAACACGTGGCGTTGTTTCTACCTTCTTCTACCCTTAGCTCTATTCATCTATCTTTCTCGCTTTTCCTCTTCTTCTTCCGCTCTTTTTAAACAAATGCGAAAAATAATTGTTGAAAGTATTTTTTTAGGATTGCCATTTGCAAAAGCTAAGCAGTAGCTTAGTTTACATCTGGAAAACAGGTGGCTCTGCGAGAAATGCTGAGCTGTTGACTTTTGATTAGTTCATTTTTTTTTAATAAATTTGCATTTGGATATTTATAGCCCACGCCAAACAATTTTTTTTTTTGGTAAAGGCAAATCAAAGGCAAACATGAATGAGGCGCGTTTTTTTTTTCGTATGTATATATATTTTTAATATTTTTTAATATATGTACATATAGACAAATTTATATATATTTATATATATAGCCTTTTGGCGTATGTGCGACCTCGTCTGGTATTACGATTGCGGATCGATTGCATTTGGGTCTGCGGTGTTGCACGCGGCGTATGATTAATCAGCGCTAGGGTGGGCTGTGTGTCGATTGTTGCTGTTGTCGCTTATGTTACGTGACAATATGTGTTCAACACGCTCAGCGCATATTAATCAATATTCAGCCATAGAGCACAAGATAAAACAAATTTTTCTGTACACTCACAGCTCATTAGGTGCGTTGATTTGTATGAGAAATGCATTCGCTTTTTATACCCTGAACCCATTTTCAATGGGAAATCAGGGTATAATGGTTTTGTTGAAATGTATGTAACAGGCAGAAGGAGGCGTGGCAGACCCCACAAAGTATATATATTCTTGATCAGGGCGACGAGCTGAGTTGATTTGGCCCTGTCCGTCTGTCTGTCCGTCTGTCCGTCTGTCCGTCTGTGTGTGTGTGTGTGTGTGTGCGTGTTTCTTGTGTAAGCTGAAAGACTCGGAAAATTATTGAAATAGC